TTGAAAAACTCTGTGCATTACCCATATATTAATACTTTATCAAGGAGAAGAAGGGAAATGTGGATAGCAGCTATAAAGAGGGACGATCTAACTGAATCGATTTTCCTTTATTGATCTATTTTAAATTGTTTCTGTGTATTTTAAGGGTGATTTTAATTTAGTTTTTTGTTTTAAGGATACACTTTAAATTGTTTATTGTAATTATATTTTATAAACTTATTGTATATTTTGCTATTGTGTATTCTCTTTCTGTATTTGGTTTTTTTTATAAACTTATTGTTGTATATATATTGTAATTTGCTATTGTACCTTGTACTTGTATTTTAGAATTTTATATAAAACTTAATCTTACTGATCTATATTTGTAAATTTGAATAAATATTTCTTTGTATATTGTCAATTTTATTTGTTATTGTAATTTGGTACTCAATTGAGTATGCAACTTTAAGCTGGACTTCTCCGAGGATATTAGATATAATCAAAGACCTTTTAAATATATAATGTATATATATTTTAATATAAAGTAATGTTAAAAGAAACAAGATCAACTTTTTGCTTGTTTTAAAAATAATTTAAACAGAAGTCAAATATCTTTATTTTAGTGAAATAATGACAAAGTTTTGATTTTTTACATTATCCTGTAATTGGGCCACTGGTCTATTTCGATAATTAAAGATTTTTTTTTATTAATAGTTCAATAAATAAAATAAAAGTCAAACTTACTACACTTAATTTATTAACAATTAAATTAAAAATATAACAAAAATATTTTTTTGTAAATATACTCAACCGCAAAATTAACTGGACATGAGTCAAAATAATTATTTCAATTAATGTCTAATGCATATTTTTTACAAAATAAACTAAAACTTGTTTTCATACCATCAAAAATCGAGGAAAAAACTTTACAGGACGAAAATCAAATGTCCAGATAATTTTGCGGTTTGGCATAGTATAAAATTATACTATTTACAAAAGTCACATATCCATTCATTATTTGGCATATTTGAAAGACCTACACATTTAAAATGGAACCATTTAATTTGGCAATTGTTATTGTCGCAGCAAATCATTGGCGTTCCATCATCTACACTCTTACAGTTGCACCAAAAAATCAATTTTGTAGATCCTTCACTTCTTGTGAAATATCTACCCAAAAGTTCTGGCATTATAATTTCAGTATGGAATTTTAATGCAATTTTTGAATTTGTATCCCAAAAATGTAAATCTGGAAATATTCTTTCAGTAAAAAAAATGAATAAAGACCAAATTACAAAATCACAATATTTCAAATTGCACACAAGCATTTGCATTTGTACTTGATAAAAGTAAGAATGATCTCGTTTTAATAAGATTTTACCATCTTTTAGAGAGAGGCAAGAGTTTTTAAAACTACAATATTCCCTAATATCTTTAGTGCCATTTTTATATAAAAGATAAGGACATTTTACTTCCAACACTCCTCCTAAGCAACACTCACAATACACTATTCTATCTGGAGATGCTCCCAATTGTGGCCACCTGAAACTTACAACGAGGCCCACAACATTGATAATTAAATTTTCATGTTGTTCCTCCATTACTTTTTGGTATTCTCCAACAGCAACAGATTCATGCTCTAATCCCCATTCTGTTGCTTTTGTATGAAATGCAGAGTTTACCGGATAGCATATACTTTTAATAAGCGACAGAGAACGCGATTCTTTATTTGTCCTGCAAACAGCTTTCAGTTTTGAAGCAGTTATTCTTCCTGCTCTTTGTAAAAACCAATTATTAGTTGCATGTTGTCCTTGGGTATACTGCTCAATTAATGATATTTGCTCTGCAGTCAAAGACATTACAATTTTTCTTGAGATTTCCATTAATTCAATATAATTTTTAGAAATATATATTTCTTGAAAAATATCTAATATGTTTGGTAATGTTACTTCTGAGGCTGCCTGCAGTTTGCTTCCAAATGGTTCCACTATCCTCATGAGGCTAGCAGTACGAGACAAACTTTCAACCCTTTTTAATAAATTTACTACACCTTCTTTAGACAACGTAGGTAGTTCTGCGTTGTTGTACAGAAGCCACTGTACCAAAGTCCATTTTGGCTATTGGGACAATAGACACTGCTGTAGACAGTGATGGCATGGGCCACAAAGCAGCTACATCTGCACAGGAAACGGTACTTTTATTTCTGTTTGCATATTCAGCCGCAAATAGCAAAGCACCAACATGGCTACATACTTCGCTATTACCTGCCATACATGTACAGTGACCACTTGAAATCGAACCATCACTAGTGATAATACACCAAGCCTCAAGGGGTTTAGCTTGGCACTTTGAGAATGTTTGACCTAAAAAAAGAAAATGTGTAAAAAACATGACTAACTACATTAATATACATTTTACAATGTAAAATATTTATGTGAAATAGATCATGAAAAACATACAAAAATTAGGTACCTTTCCAACCATGACATAAAATTCATTCAAAATCCTTTTTCCTACTTTTAGGACAAAACCTGCTGAAAAATATTTATGAGCATCAAGGGATTTGTACGCTTTCATCTGCTCATGAGTGTAAAAACTGTGAGTCAATACTATATGTGAAAATATATCGGGATATGTGACTGGTGGAATGCCATTAACACTAGTCTAAATCGGAAGTTGAAAATGTGAAAGGGTCCAAATTCTTAATCAATGTCAGCTTCAATAGATACCTACGAAAATATTATATTAGTTTCAAGCATAAAAGTTTGCTGATTAACTAAGAAAAATGCATAAAATAAGGGTAAAAATTCTCATATTTACCTCTGACCAACGTCTGGGTTTTCTTGCAATAATGTCTTAAAATATGAACTTTGCATATTGAATTATCGTAAATATTCAATTTAACTTCTCCAAACAACTAATAACGATTTCCAAATTTATCAAATGATCCAATAAAAACAATAAAACTTTCAAACTGTAGCAGAACACAATGTAAACTATAGGAACTTTTAACAATGTCTGCCAACCAAGCGCCATCTTGACAGTTAAAATGTCACGTGGTTTGGATTGCCTAATTGAAATATTTGCATTTTAAAAAATAGCCAAACACGGAACTAATATTTGCATTTAAAAAAAATGGCCAAACACGGAACTGACAATCGAAGCACGGTACTGACAATCAAAGCACGGTACTGACAATCAATTTAAAGGTACTCCAAAAGATTCCAAAAATCTTGTATTTCCTTGCGATAACTGCAGAATATATACTTGTGGCGAATGTTCAGACCTTACACCATCAGAGTTAAGATGCATTCCCTTGCAAAAACGAACATTAAAATTTAATTGTTTAAAATGTAGAAAAGGTGAAACATTAGACATTTACAAAAATATAATCAAATAAAGAAACCATTATCAGTGATCAAAAATTGATTATTGAAATGTTGCAAGAAAAGATAAGTAACTTAGAGAAAACTAAAAAGTCCTATTCAGACGTAGTAACCTATAGCCGAGGGGGTAGTCACTTGAGATTTTTTAGGACAGAAAATCTCCATTTGTGGAGATCTTATTGGATCTCCATGGATATCCTTGGATCTCCATGGATATCCTTGGATCTCCATGGATCTTCGTATATCGCCTCCAGACCTCCATAAACATTTCATTCAATTTTGTATGGAATTAGATCTTTGGAAAATATGTGATGTGTCCAACACATGACTTTCCTGTCATACCTTAACTTATGCTTTCTTATCTTTTTCGACTTTTCCTCAGGTATGGGACAAAAATTATAGAGAATGACGTCACAAACAACTTTTATTTGAACAATTTTCTTAAAAATATGAATTTCGCACTTTTTGTCAAATTTCTCGAATACGGTCCAATTTAGGGAAATTATGTATAGAACAGAAATTATAGAGAATGACGTCACAAACAACTTTTATTTGAACAATTTTCTTAAAAATTGAAATTTTGCACTTTTTGTCAAATTTCTCGAATGCGGTCCATTTTAGGACAATTATGTATACTCCAAAAATTATAGGAAATGACCTGGTAAGCAACTTTTATTTGAAGAATTTTCTTGTTCAAGCTTAAATAATAGATATATTCCTTAAAATAGAAAAATGATTCCGTATAAAGTACCCCCCAGATGCTCCTACTATGTCCAAAATCTAATCAACTCTTTAGAGGATAGATTAAAGCTTAAGTTTAAAATTTAGTGTTTTCCTCTATATCCGTTCATGAGTTATCGAGTATACAGACACACACACACACCCACAGACACACAGACATCATCGCGAAAATGGTCAAAACGGATTCAGGGGACCTCAAAACGTAAAAATTCGTCGAAAACTCGAGGTCGAATAAAATCATGATTCCTATAAGTACTTTCTGTATACAGACAGGAAAGTAAAAACACGTTTTTTGTTGTCAGAAAGTGGTAGAGTAGTTTGATATTACTAATGATTTGTGTCCATTATAATATGACTAAATCACAAACATTTTAGAGTTAGTAAGTATACTATTACGAATGGTATGTAATACTTGACCTAATAATAGTAGATTATGTAGCATGGCAGAACATAGATTATTACCACAGCTTGTGTTATTACTGTCGAAGGACTGAATCGTTAACTAACTCAGATTTATTTCGGTTTTATTATATACATATGTTTACTCAAAAAAAAAAAAAATAAAAAAATATATAAGTATAACATCAACTTAGTTTTATTCAAATAAAAAAGTATTAGGTACATAGGTATCATTAGTAATACATCACTTGGTCAAAATAATATTAAAACTTATATACTAAACAAAACAAACAGTGCAAAAAACACATAATACCTTGTTAGGTATCATAAAATAATAAAAAACAGAGGAACTAAAAGAATATTAAACAATAACAAAAAAACTTATTGTAGAGGAACACTACGTAGAAAAATAATGTAATGATAAAATATTAAATTAAAAAAAAAAACAACAAAAATACATTTGTTTTTAAACTAATAAACATAAAATAGGTATTCCCAAGATGAAAGGTAACTATTTTCTTTGGAATAAAACTAAAGAAGTTACCAGTATAAAAGAAAATCGAATAAAACTAAACTGTCTCTAAGACAAATCTGATTTATACTTTTTTTAAAGATTTATGTAAGGTCAATATTTTTAATCTGTCTGACCTTGACAGTTTCATAGGATGGGTACCTAGCATTGTAATGGGCCCATAAATAATTTGAATGGGCTCTATTAGTTGCAGATCATCTTGTTTCGGCCAATAAAAATCTTCAAGGTCTTCTTTCATAAACTTCATTTGTATATTTAGGCTTTCTTGATCTTGATTAACCACCTTTCCAATATACCACATTTTATCATACATGACTGCATAAAAGTGCTCGTTTAAAACGTTTATTTTCTTAGTATCACATTCTTCCTCTTTTTCAGAGTTGATGTCTGAGATATCCGTGGAGTCGTTATAAGAAAACAAATTCGAATCTCTTTCAGAGCTCGTTTCAGAACTATATGATTTTCGTCGGGATGTAGAGGGCGAGGTAGAGGGTGCGTTTTTTACTCGTTTTTTTATAATGTGACTCTTTGGTTGCCTCTTTCGTAAGGTTTTTTGTTTTGATTTCAAAATACCACCTCTAACATTAATTTTGTTCTTTCTAGCTCTATTTGTTTTGAATCTTTCTAATCTATCCGTGCTTAATTTAGAATTTTCATTAAAGAACCAACATAGGGACGATTTTTTAAAAGTTTTTATGGACCCATTCTCCAAAACAACTTTAAGGAATCGACTGTTATTGCTTTCAGAAGTCTTTTGGTTTTTGCCGGTGAAGTATTTTAGTGTTAAGGATCCCTTGTAATGCTCCAGGTATTCTTCGATATCCTCGGACGGTGAATCCGAAGGTGAATCGCTATCACCAAACCGATTTTTGTCATGGTTATCCAGGAAGTTTTGTATATTACAGGAACTATCTTCGTAGTGTTGCACAATATTATCATCTAAATTACAGTCCTCAGATTCTTCTTTTAGATCTTTGTTTTCACAGTCTAAATCTTTGATTTCGGGCAGGTCAACTATTAAAGTGCTACTATATGCGTATGTAACTCCCATACATTCGGCATCGCTTACTGCGTCTTGTTGGGCTTTTAACACTGTCATCTCAATATCTTCGTCGGTCATTGGTTGAAAAGTAGTAGACAGCTGCTCAGTGTCTGTATTAGTTCGGGGAAATGTAAATTGACCCTGCAATTCTGTTTTAACATCTTCTAGGTAATGAATTCGATTTAATCTGTTTAAAATTTCTAGCATACTGTAGTTGACGACTGTAGAATAGGTGCTGGTTATAGATCTGGTAGCTCTAAAAAGCTGTTCGCAGGGTTGACTGCTCATAAGCCATGGTGTAAACATATTTTTAGGTAAACTTTCATCACTAGAAAATTTCTTAATAATTGATATTATCGAGTGGGCATTTATTTCAATGCAAGTGTATGCGTTTAGCGTAATAAAATTGTCCTTTAATGTGTACGAGTCAGATTGCTTAATCCATTGGCGCCATATTCGTAAAATAAACACGGAGTACCAAAGATTGTATAATCTGTTTTCCACTGTCATGTCTTTTTGTAAATATGCCTCCAAAACTTTCTTTATAATGGTTAAGTATAACACAGTTGCATTGCTATCAACAACTTCAGTCTTCAATAATTCAATCACTTTTGTATTACAAATTTTTAGAATGGACGCAAAATTCATTTTATCCTCACAGTCGAGATCTGTATGTACCAAAAAGTGTAATCCCTTATCAAAATTACATAATAAATATCTTAAGTGCTCGACAGACACAATTTTTTTCCAAATGGTAACAAAATATTTGGTTTTATTAGCCGGTTTCTTAGCTTTGTACCTATGTGTACTGTGTCTTGCACACATATAATAATTTCAGGATCAACGGTGGCATGAAACCATGGCCATTTACTAATTTGTTGACTTTTCGGTTGAACTGAAGACAATTTAGACATGTATTTCATAACCTTTAAAAGGCGACTGTCACCATCCGAAGACATTCCAAGAACTGCTATTCCTTGAGCCTTAGCCATAGATATTGTAGTTCTCCATCTTTTGAGAACATCATTCGCATTAAATTTATTATCTGAACCATATAAGCAGTAACAAAATGAAGAACTTAACTTCTGTCTTTTAAAGGTTGTGCAACTAGGGCATATGCATAGTTGGCTTTGCTCTCTTCTTCAAATTGTCGTTGTATCTCATGAACTGATGATGCCTGAAACAATATAAGAAATTTTAATATAAACTTGAAAGCTTCATAATTCGGGATTACCTTAAAAGCTTTATTATTTGGATATCCATCTGAGTTCAAGGGTAGTACAAATCCAACATTACTGTTTGTGGCTGGGCAATATTGAATTCTTCCGTTAATTCTAGTGCCATCTTCGCTTAACCATACTAATTTTTGAAGATTCCGTTTTTCCAAATCCTCATGTAGTTCTAGTATTCTTGGTTTGCCCCCTTCAAAAGTTGGATGTTGACTAAATTCTCTTAGTACTGTTGATATAGAGGGTAGGGCTCCTTTTAAATTTGAAATCAAAGTTTCGTATAGTAGGCGACCCCCAATAATAAATATATAAGCATAAAATTTCTTTAACGATTTGTCATATTTATTGCCTTTGTTCGATTCATTTTTATTTTTGGATGCGGTTTCTGCTATAAGATTTAATAAATTTTTAACATTGTATCTTTCTTGCTGTTCTGTTGATTGTACACTCTCGCCAATATTGGTTAGTTTATCACAATTTGTAAAAAGTAGTTTCTTAAGTTCTTTGTTTTCCTCTACGACTTTTTCAACTTCATTTATGTATTTGAAAAAAGAAGTAATGAATGGTTGATCTTTGGGATTTTTTAACAGTCTCCTTTTTGTTCTTTCAATTTTCTGCTCAGTCTTTTTTATTTGGGGTTGATTTTCACTTTTTCTTTCTATTTTGTTCTTTTGTAATAGAATATTTTGATGAATCACGATTCCTTGACTTTCTGATTTATTCGAAGACTGTTGTTGATTATCTTCATCAACGCAATATTCTTCGAAATTTTCAGAGTTTGGGATATCCTCGCTAATATCTTTGACAACTAAGTCGAAAGTTTCTTCAGTATCTACCAGTTCAGGTTGCTTTTGAATTTCTGGCAACATACGAATATTCTGTCTTGTATTATCATCCATTCTCTTTTTAAAATAACTTGCAATTGTTTTAAATTTTTTTCGTATCGGTTTAGCACTGGTGTCTTCGCTTTGAATGCCCTTATCTTTGAAGTGAGTTTGGACATGCTTATAAAAATTCCCCCTTAACCACCGAGGAGCATAATTAGCTTTTTGTTTCTCAAAATGAAGCTTTATTGGTACCGAACATAGAAAACATTTAACTGTCGCGTACATTTCTTCATTGTGCCCAATCTCCACAGTTACTTCTGTATTTGCTAAATTAGTTAGAATATTACTTTCGGATTTAGCCGATATATTTTCTTCTACTATGGCTTTAACTGTTTTTACTAGTTCCTTTTTCAGACTTTTTTTCTCTTCATGTAAGTCAACTACCACCTTTTCTTCCTTGCTTGATTTTTGAGAAACCGTAGAAGATGATTCTGATCCTTCTTCTTGGAGTTCTATTTTCTTTTTTTCTTTATTTTTTCTCTCGGTATTTTCTTTATTCGACTGAAATTGTTGTGGAATACTCAGTAACAACTTTTTATGACCAGGTAATATTTTGAATTTATTTGGAACTTTTTTATTTCTTCATTGGTGATTTCGAAAAAGTGAACGCCAGTGCAATGTTCACGTAAAACTAATACAAGATCTTGAAACCTGGAACTGTCTTGCCGCTGTAATTCCAAGTTACTTCTTCTATATCATTGAAATGTTTCTTTAATTGATTAGCAATGAAGGAAAACATATCTTTATTCCGGTACTGAGTACTTGGACTGTCACTCAAAAAAATGTAGTTTTCTAATACCTTTGTTAGCATAAAATTTGAATAGTGGAAACAAATGCGCCCATATGGCAGGTGGGTTATGATCCAGGGATTCTGAAAGAGTACAAAAGCTGTCCACATTGACTCCAGTGTTATGCAAATTCGAATATGCTACAGATGTGTGCATTGTTATTTGTTGCCAGGATCCTCCAAAATGGTAGGATTGTATTTCTTGCGAGTACTTTAGACTGTAATTTTCACTAAAGTCACAGTGTAAAATTAATTCATTTGGTTGTGATTATTTCAATGTCTTTATAAAATTGTATTGGTGCCCAATTCGAGCACTGTGGCACATAAAAGATATTAATTGGCATTCAAACTGTTGCACAAAATCAGACACTTACTTGCTTGGCAGCTTTGGCAATTTTTTTAGTGAACTTCGTTGTTTGCGTCTTTTTGTCAAAGTATGCTTGATTTAAATTAAGCCATTTAAAATACTGAATAGTTAGGTTTTCGTCATAATCATTGTATAGAATACTTGAGTTTTTACATTTAGAGCATTCTCTTAAAAGACAATTTTCATCATGATCGTTGCAACACATGTCTTTAATTACCTGAGCAGGAGTCTTTCCGGAAATAATCTTGTTGGAGTACAAACTGTCAACCATTAACTCCATATTAGTATGTGTCACACACTTACATGTATCTCGGTCTGCCACATTCATAGCTTTCACCCAAAATGGGCGATATCGGCAAAACAATCTGTAGCTTATCTTTTTGAAATATTTGATTGAGTTTTTGAAAGAGTGGAGATATTTTTCGCGGTGATCTCGAGTAGAGTCCCGACTTCTCTAGGTCCCTTTGAATGATGTCCGAGTAGAGTCCCGGAGATGGTTGAGTAGAGTCCGAAGCTCATTATCTCAGGTACCTGAATTATTTTATTTTTTTTTAGTTTATTTTTTAGGGAACATGGCAATAAAGTAAACCAGATTGATAAAAAAATGTATTTATTAATCATTCACAGTGCTAAAAATATTTTTAAACCTAAAATAAGGGTGATTTATTTTATATTTACATAAACTACAAAATTAGATTTTCTACATTTTAAATGGATTTCCAACTACCTTAATAAATTCCAAGTTTGTTATATCATGATTTTTTAATTGCCATATCTTGTCATCTAAAAATTGTTTGTTTTCTATAGTTTTTGCAGAGTATATTTTCTTTTCATTTTGTTGCGCTGTTCTTATCTTTATGTAGGTATCACTTTGAAAATCTATTAAAACCGAAATAAATTGAAAAATATGAGGATGTGCATGGTAAAATGCAGAATTAAACCGTGAATGAAAACTTTCGCAGGCATTTGTAGTTCTCTTAACACTACTTGTATTTTCAGCCCATATGTATGGTGGAAATTTGGACGATTCTGTTATGTAAGTATCTACAAGATAATCTGCGAATGATGTAAGTTTGGAATTGCTGGGTTGAGAAGAAATTAAATCAATAGCAAAACAGTCTCCAACATCTATTGAATTAAGAAACGGCAAACCAAAACAGCTTCTCAAACATTTTCCAACTTCTGAATCATTATCCTTGTATGCAGTATGCTAAGCTGTTGTATTTTTCGCCACCTAAAAAGTGCATGTTGCATTTAGTAAACTGACAGCATTGAAATATATATATATATTTTTTTAAAGAAAAATTACGTCTATAAGTTTTGGACAATCAAATTTTATTAAACTTTTTTCCTAATAATATTTTAAATCTCTAATACTTAATTATAAGGACATTCTATTTTTAAAATTTAATTTCCTTAAAATCAATAAGTATTAGAGATACAAAACCTAGCAAAACATTATTGAATTAACCTTAGTCATTGAAATATTTATCAATAACTTACCATGATTGGCCCAAATGAAATCTACATCCAACAATACTTGTCTTCGCCCAAGTTTCTAGCACACTTTGGTGGATTGCCTCTTCAAAATCTGCCACTACAGTCGTTGGTCCCAATATTTTACCAATCTTTTGACATTCTTCTATTGCATACATTAATGCCAACATATAACTTTTCTTTTGCTTATTTGGAAGTATGAAAAAGACTAGAGGTACATAATGGTCACCTGCTAATCCGTGAATGGAGAACTCTAAATTCTTTTTTGATGAGAACATAATTATATTGTTTTCTGTGTCGTTTACCAGAAGAAAAGTTTCGCCCCGATTTGTCATAACAGGATAGGAATTGAGAACATTGTGAACTTCTTGTTGATTAGTTCGAGAGTTGTATATGTTGTTTCTAATACATTTGACATCGCAATTAGTCAATGTTTCGACATCTCCTTTCCTTAGTTCTCGGTGAATTAATTTTAAAGTTCTCTCTCTTAAATCTTCTGAGGCTTTTCTTTTTAGGGAATTGCTCACTTCATTCCTATTAAGAATTTTTTCATCAAGTGGTGGGTGGTTATGGTTGTCGACAACTTCTATTATGTTTGTTTTTCCCTCTGTCTTCAAATAGGCCGTACACTTTTTATTTCCACTTACAGAACACACCCAACGTTTAATACCACCAGATAGTTCTTTGTGAAAACGATATTTATATCTATCTAACACTAGAAGCCCTTTCCTTTCTCGCTAAGTATAAACTTTAATGCACTCATGATTTAATCTTGACGGTTACTAAACTAAACTAAAACTGTAATAAACAAAAGATCTAATTGAATATTTTTATTTTATGCATGTTTTTGGGCATGTAGAAAGGGAACAATCAACTTGTAATTGTCATGATCATAAACAATTAATAAATAGTTATTGAAATATTAATAATAGATAATACTAAATATTCAAATTCAAAATATAGGTAGTTAATCCTTTAATGACTTAATCTGACCCTGGACTCTACTCAACCATCTAAATTTTGGACCGTCATTATAGCAGGTATAAACGGGACTCTACTCCGGTCTGCCCATTTTTCGAAGTCGATCATTTGCGGTAGCTATATTCTCATTATCACTGAAATATCACATCTTCATTAGTTGTTGAAAGCGGTTCCTAATCATTATTTTATTGATATTGTTGCAATACAGGAATGACTTACTCCAAACATTTCTGAGCCGTAGCAATTTGAAAAGACCCATCCATACCAAGGGTCGAAGAATGAGGTATTTAAGTTTCGGTCACTTAAAAGTATCGTAATTGCTCTGAAACTTTTCCATTTCCTCATGAAGGCTTAGTTTTTGATCTCCTTGGAAGCCCAATTTGTTGGGCATATAAATTGGTGTGTTCAACCATATATTCTATTATTTCATCTGTTATGAATATTTTATATATGTCATAGGGATCTTTGCCAAATAATTCGTAATATGTTTCTTTAATCTTTAATAAGTAAATAAAAATACGAGTAAAAGTTTTTCGATTAGGAGTTCTTCGATCAGGAAATCTTCATGTTCGAATTTTGCAGATGAAGCACTACCATTGCAAAAACCATAAACAAATACCATGTCGTAGTATTCTCGATTAGAATATTGATGTAGCATTTTTTTAATCTTAGGACAACACGGAATAAACTAATGCAATTCAAAAAAATCGTACAATAATTGACAAAAACCAAATAATGACATTAGAAATGACACAAACAAACTAGATATCTTAATCTCATAGCCTACATTTCAGCTTCAGTACCTTCGAGGGGATGTATTTTAGTAATAGAATTACAATTTTATTAACAATACATAGTTGTAATTAGTATCAAGTCATAACGCAATGATGAATTTTTATTGTTTTAAACAATTTTCCAGTTCCTGTTGATTAAGCCTATTGAATGGAGATGCATACTGTGAAAATCTTCATTTTTTTTTTATGTAAAAATTAAATTTTCTTAAATTTGGATCTGTAATTGTTTGCAAACTTCGTGGTTGATAATCTATTAATATATATATATATATTTTTATCAAGTGAATTAAGTTGTTTTTTAGCATGACCTATAGCTGAAGTAATTTTGCCTTCTTCTATGTCCTGCTTTACTTTGATTTCTTGGAAGTTAGCAATATGTATTTTTTTATTGATAAGCTCATATTTTGGGGCTATGTCAGATGAGGTCAATACCCTTACTGTCTGCCTCGGTCTACGTCTTCCAACACCAAATTGCATTCTAGAAAACCAGATTAAGAAAACCATAGTTAACCAGAAAACTTCATTAGTAATAGGGCTTAATTCAGGATTCTGTTCAAGATCATTTGTAGCTACATCTACAGGGTGTAGAGGTTTGGCGTGATTTCACTATCGGTGATTTTGTCACAGCTCCGGATGCGGAGCTGGAACTACCAGTTCCTTTTACTAAACAGTCACAGTGATTTTTCGGAACTTTTTCGAAATGTTCGGAGCATTAGGATAAAAGAAAGAATTACTTGGAGCTTGGAAAGTTGGAATTTCAAATCAGAGTAGGAACGGTCGGAGTCGGAATCGTGTAACGGAACTACAATATATGCCACGTTTGAGAATCTACATCGGATGCATCTGAGATGTAGTAAATCTTTGATCACGTGATTCAGTATACGTAAATTTAATGGGACAGATGTGTCCGATGTGGATAAAAAAACGCACGAGATGTAAAAAATGCATCCGATGTGGATTCTCAAACGCGGGAATAATCGTTGTTAGATAATCTTGTGTACGTTTTTTAAGAATATGATCAATAACAATATGAATCTAATTAGTAAAGCGGATGTTTAAAAAATCACATATATTGGGAATACGCTACTGACATGCTAATGAAGTGGGATTTTATGGTCTGAGTTAAATTTCAAATAACTGTAGATATAAAATACATTTTTCTAGTTTTGATATTTAAACTGACAGTTTTTGTAATCACTGCAAATGTCAAAATGATCTACTTTATGCAACCAGTTGCATAATGTTGAACATTATGAAACTGGTTTCGAAAAATTTATTATAGGTTATCATTAATTGCGAAAAGAAAAGAAATAAAAATAAACCTTTTTGATTTTAAAATTAATAATATACATTATTATTGAAATTTTATATTAAAGAAGGGCAGATTGTCTTATAAAAATAGAATTTGTTTAAACTTACATGCCAGTAATAATGTTGTTTTGGTCCTTACTTTCCATTCTAAATCAGCACAAAATAGTTCAAACACAAGACACGACAAAATAACCCACTTTTTTGAAAACTAAATAACTTTAATAAGCCATATAAACACTACAAGTCTTTGAGAATAAATAATTAATATTATGTTTTGTCAATAAAATTACACCTTTTTTCAATATTAATATTACAAACATTTTTTAGTATTTATTTGTATTAATAAACATAATTTTTTGTGCTTTACTGGCACTTAATCTTGATCTACGAGTACTAATTAATTGTCCTGTTTTTGAGAAAATTCTCTCACAAGGCACTGACCTTGCCACAGTTCCTAATTTTTCAATTACTATTTGGGATAAATATGGGTAATTGTACTTATGTTGTCGCCACCAAGTAAGTGGATCTTCATCTCGGTTAAGTAAACCGTCTTCCAAATATCTTTGAACCTCTACAATAGCCCTTGATGTATTTGTACCACTAGGTTGAAATTTTTTTGCTTTCATGTCAAAATGTGACTATAGTGAAACAGTTGGTTTAGCTTTTTTTTATGGCGGACTCATTACTGATGCTTCTTCAAAAGTTGGTTTGTGGTTTGTTGAATTGGCCACGTGATTCTCTTTTTCGGCATTAATTAAGTTACAAACTAAGTTTGTCACCAAGTTTTTGGCACGATCTGCAACCATGTCGTCTGAAAATCCTACGTGTTTAAAGCGGGGATCCAAGAACGTCGATATAATTAACGTTTTACTGCTTTCAAGGTCAGAAAAACGCTCTTGGATTCCACTTTTAATTTTCTGTGCCATTGCCTGAGTCAAAGCAAATTTTAAATTGACTTCGGATTCGTCATCACCAGAAGTTAAATTTTTGTAGTTTTCCTCTAATCCTTTGGTAAGGATAATTATTGAGGAGAGAGTGACATACTTTTGTTCATTTATAATTTTCGTCAATTTTTCCATTGGATCCAACACGATTTTTATTTCGTTTTAATACTTGCCACTCTTCCACGAATATAATAGGAAGCTTCTCATCATTTAAAAGTGCCATCGTTGTTCTAACGGCATCTTCCAATTCCAACAAACGTGTTCTATCATGTAAAATGATGAATTCCAACGGGTTGATACATCTTGCAACAGTTTCTTCTGAACAGCTTTACCATGTTGCTTTTGTACCTCGAAAAATTTTGCAGTAGCATTAGTGCTACGTTTAAAATGGGCAACAATTTTTTTAATTTTTTAACACTTCTTCTACTACAAGCATTGCACCTTTCACAATTAGATTTAGGGTATGGGCAACAGCCAAAGAATCGCCATTTTAAAACATCTTTTATTGCCTTTTTAATACTGGCAGCATTATCAGAGACAGCCAATAAAATTTTGTTTCCTAACCCCCACATAATTATTATTTTTTTTTAGCTCTTCTGCCAAATTTTCAGCAGTGTGTGATTGTGGAAAAACAGCACAATCTAGCAAAATTGATTTAATATCAAAATTCTGATTTATAAAATGTACGGTAACTGCCATATAGCTTTCCGTATTTATTGATGCCCAGCAATCTTTGTCACTGTGACATATTTAACATATTTTATCTCCTCTTGGACATCTGTAAATGTTTTTTCATACAATGCAGGCAACAGTGTATGTGTAATTGTTTTTTTATTGGGGAGTTCGTAGGTTGGATTTAGAGACTTTGTAAAATTTCTAAATCCCTCGTCCTCAACTACACTAAACCGTTGGAAGTATTTAGTAAGCAAGTCCATTAAATAATTGTCTATTTTATTTTTTTTCTCGTAAAGGAAGAGTTTTGCGCAAATAGGGTAACTTTGTTTGTAGTGTATTTGCTTGTTTAATTTTAGCAGATTGAGGCTGTGTAATTGTACATATTGTACTACTAGTGGATGGAAACGGTTCAGTTTCAGCCGACGGAGAAAGTTCAATTTCAGGCAACGGAGGCGGTGTAGCTTTAGCCAACTGGGACGGTAGAATAATTGCACGACTTGTTGACACTTCAGATGAATTTTGCACTAAAGGATGTTTTATTTGCATATGGCGTTTGAAATTGCTAATAGACGTTTTATAACTAATACTCTGATTGCATAGTGTGCACCTAGCTTTATCGTCCGACGTCGGATTAAAGAAATTCCACAAAACTGATTTTTTGTTTCTCATGGACATATTTAGTACTTAATAAACTGAAACTACACTATAAACTGTTCTAATAAACTAAAACTACACTAAACTGTTCTAATAAACTAAAACTACACTAAACTGTTCTAATAAACTAAAACTACACTAAACTGTTCTATATAAGTTCAAAAACCAGACAGTAAATCAATAATTAGATCATTAAACACTGCAAATAAAAAAAACATCAGTATTTTACACTTTATAGTCTACTATATACTTCGCGAAAATACATGTACTAACATGAAATGATTAAAATGTTAAATTTGAAAATTTGTCTTGGGATTTGTTACTATCACCTTATTCAGGGTTGCCACTAGCTTCTCTTTGATTTTCCTCGGTTAGATAAATTCTCCGAAAAGACATTACTTTCTCCGCATAGGACAGCCAATACCTAGGATTTTTTATTATAAAAAGAAAACTTTAAATCCAGTGTTAAAGTTGAATTGCCGAAATACAAAACCTAGAAAATTTCAATTCTTTGAAAAAAATTAATATTCTCATTCTCCGAACCTCCCTGAATTCTTTGGAAAGCGGAGAATTATCCACCCATTGGCAACACTGAGCACCTTGCATCGCACTTGCAATGCCATATGTATCCCAGATGGAAATTCAATTGCCTGGGTTCTGTGACGCGATAACCGAAAACAGCAACAGCCCTCCGGACCGGGATAAATAAGCGTAGGTACATGTAAAAAAAGAAATCGTTGTTCTCTGAGCTGTTCCGAGAAATCACGTTAATTTATCACAGCTCCTTCTCCGGAACTGTCACGGTCTGTCACAGCTCCTTGCAAATCACAGGTTTTAAGGGGGTAAGGGGGACTTTAAATTTACTGAAGTATATTTTTTCCATGGTTTTTGATTACAGATCTAAAAAATGTAATATCAAACAAAAGAATTCACACACACATATATACATACCATAGATGGTTTCGATGGTCCTGGTATATTTAACTCACAAATTACTTCTGGAACATCTTCATCAGTTGCTTGTTTGCCAGAATAACCCCCCCATGGGCTATTTAATCTATATATTGTTTTTTTTTTATGCATGATGGACATTAATACATCCTGACATGGATCATTTGGAACTTTAAGAGTTTTTTTTTTAATTTCTATGTTCTCGTCTGCAGCTCTTTTGCGCACTTTTTTTTTGTTTTTATATAGTCTAAGACTATCTTTGCTAATATAATTATTTAATAACTATTGAATATGAATTAAATTCTGTTGTTATATTATCCCAAGCATCACTTTTCTGTTTTATATAGTCTATTTTTATGTATGAGAGAGTATTAAAATAATAAAGCGTTCGTAATCCATAGGCGTACCACTTCTTTTAAGTAGACAGTTAAAATATTTTTTGAAGTTATTCCTCGAGTATACACTTATATTTTCACCTAATTAACCTGCTTATAACTTCTAAACAGCTGAAGGTAAAAAAGTGCAATTTTTTTTAAAATGTTTTATTTTTCCACAAGGTATGTTAAGAACATTGTGTCAAACGGGTTATGTAGGAATAAGGGTTTAAACTTTGACTTTTAAACAACGTTACGTTCAAAAATAATAATTTTAATATAAAAACTACTTCTTACCTACAAATCCAAATCAGAATCGAAATCAGAAGATGAACTGTCGCAACCAATATTTACAATGAGTGGCTCGATCATTTCATCAGTATATTGTCCAACTTCCACATTTTCTCTTCTTCTTTAATCGTATGATTTACTGCCTTTTCCCAGTTTTCAGGCTTCACATTATTTACAGCCTCCAAAAACAACTGTTTAACATCACTCATTTTAAAAGAATTATTTTTTCTTGAAACTTCTCCCTTTATCTGTGCCCATATTAGTTCAATCGGGTTTACTTCGCAATGATATGGTGGTGATCTAACCACCGTCATCCCACGATTTTTTGCAATTTCATCAATTTCATATTTTTTGAATTTCTCTTTATGAAGGGAACATAAATGATACAGTTCTTTTCTCACAGAACCGGGATGGAACTTAATATTCTTTGAATTTAGCCAATTCTGTAAATCTTTTTTTAACCACTTGGTTATGGGCATTTTTTCTATAAGTCTCGAGTGATAACCTGCATTATCCATTACTATTATACAGTTCTGAGCAAGAAGATCTATAATTTGTTCGAACCACTCTTTAAAGACATAAGCATTCATGTCCTCATGGTAGTCACCGGTACGAGTAGATTCAAAAGTCAATAAACCACCTTTAACAAAACCGTTTGAACTACCGATGTGTACTATTATTAGTCTGCGCCCCTTTCCTGATGGTGGATTTAAACCAGTAGATAAATTATTTAAAAAAGCCTGTAACAGTTGTAACAGTTTCATCTTGCCAAAATTTATTTGGTTTATGTCCCTCGTTGATCCATGTTTCATCTAAATAAAATATATTTCTTCTTTGGTTTATCATTTCTTTTATAGTCCTTAGGTAATTTCTTCTCCATACTACAATATCGCTTCTTTCTATTAAAATAGACTTTCTGGAATGCTTTTTCCATAGAAAACCTATTTCTTTTAAAAGTTTCCATAGTGCGCTTCGACTCATTTCAGGGTAATCCTTATCATCTCGAACCGTGGCAGGGAGAATACTGGTTCAGCCAATCGTGATTAATTTTTTGCTTTAGATGTTTTGCATCTTTCTTAAAGTTGTAACTTTTTGGAGGCTCCCACCAGTTTTTTAACAATTCTACTTTCTCGTCAGGTCTCATCATATCAGTTCGTCCCAACCAGTTGCCTATCTCGTTGTCGTACTTGGGTGTTGTTGTATCAGTATCAGATTCGGACTTTTTAGAACTGCATTATAAAAAAATTGCAAACTTTTGGGTTAAAAAAAACCTGACCATTATTTAAGACCTATTTTCTTACTTTTGAGTTTTCATCCTGTAATTTTTCAAAGGTTCTATAATGGCAAAGTAGAATAAGTAGTCATATTATTGACAAAAAGTCATCATCATATATATTGCCCACCCCCTAATTCACAGAGTATTGACAACCATATTTAATAAGATTTTACATGTATAAACGATTTCATAAAATTATGACAAGTTGTAAAAGTACAAGCCTAAACATATGCAATGGTCACTTTCTATTTTTAAAGGACATGCCATTCGTGTTTAAATGCTATATCATTAATTTTTTTAATTCTATACATGTCATTCTGTACCCAAAGATATTTTCTTTGGGTACAACTGAAAAGATCTAGATCGATTACCCTTATTTATAACAAAGTATATTTCTGTCTCTTTGGAGAATATATCAATTTGTATGATTACAAGAAAACTAGTATTGTAAGGGATTTCGGGTGTGGATAGCGTAGGTTAAAACGGATGGGGTCGTTCAATGGGCATTTAAATTAATGAACTGATTCATTTAATTGGTTTTTATGAACCTTAAGACGTTACAACTTTGTCGAACTAGTAAAAGAACAATGAAAACTAACAAAATAAATATATAGCATGTAAAAAAGATTCAAGCACACCGCTCGTCAACTGTATCCGCTCGAGCCCCGTCTTCTTTTTTCATTCCAGCGTTGCCGAGTTGTGTTGCGGAATTAGGTAGTGTTACAGTATTAATCTGAAAAACTAAATATAAGACGAGCTGAAACTAACTACAAAAAAGTGGAAACTAGCGAAGTTTTAAGAATTAACTGATCTTACCTTTTGTGATCTCCAGGCATTTAAAGGAACTAGCCTTTACGTTATTTCTTTGCCCAAGCCATGAGCACTTTTGGCCCAAACCATTTGTGAAAAGAGCG